AGGGAAAACAGAAACACTGGCTGTTGTTTCTCATGAGTTTTAATGAAAGAGAGCCCTTAAGCACCATGCCTAAATAAATTCTTACTCAATAAAGCAGCTAGTTACTTTCCTCAAGAAGTGTTCTCACAGACTGATGTGTACTATGAAATTGAAATTTAAAAGCTGTTTATATAAAGACAGATTTTATCCCATGCTTTTAATTAATGATATATTTTAGTGGGGTTTTGGAACAAGGCTTCACTCCTTTAAAAGCTCTCAGTAAGATCTGGGTGCATTAAGTAGCAAATAGGTAAATAAATAAATAACTATTAATTGGGTTTTCTACATTGGTGGAACTTGGAGAGTTAAAGAGCCTTCACCTCGCTCATCTTCTCCCTCTCCCTGCATCCCTTTGTATGTAAATCAAACTAGACTGATGGTGGAATGGCAGAAGAAGCAGGAGGAGCTTTTTTTCTCTGAACTTCACCCCAGGAGGCAACTGCAGCATGCAGCCTGTGCCCTGCAAAGCCCACCCCATTTGTTGTCCCTGCAGTCAAGCTGGCAGCCTGCTCCTTGCACTGGCTGACCAGGCTGGAACAGTGACCCATTTCAGTTTGCCACCCTGTTTCCATATGGAAGCTAAGGAGTATGACTAAGGAAGTGTCCAAGTGTTATAGAGAATCACAGAATCACAGAATGGTAGGAGTTGGAAGGGACCTCTGGAGATCATCTAGTCAACTCCCCCTGCCAAAGCTGGTTAGCCTAGAGCAGGTCACACAGGAACACATCCAGACGGGTTTTGAACATCTCCAGGGAAGGAGACCACAACCTCTCTGGGCAGCCTGTTCCAGTGCTCTGCCACCCTCAGAGTAAAGAAGTTCCTCCCTCATGTTCAAGCTGAACTTCCTGTATTCCAGCTTGTGCCCATTGCCCCTTGTCCTGTCACTGGGCACCACTGAAAAGAGCCTGGCCTCATCTTCTTGACACCCACTCCTTATTTATAAGTGTTGATAAGGTCCCCTCTCAGTCTTCTCTTCTCCAGGCTAAACAGACCCAGGTGTCTCAGCCTTTCCTCGTAGGAGAGATGCTCCAGCCCCCTAATCATCTTTGTAGCCCTCCGCTGGACTCTCTCCAGTAGCCTCTTGTCTCTCTTGAATTGGGGGGCCCAGACTTGGTTGAAGTATCTGCCACCTTTCAAGGGAGGGGACAGCAGCTAGCAATACTTCATTAACATCCCCAGGAGTAAGCACTGGGGTAGGTCTACCTCAGTCATCTGGAGGAGAGGTAGATGGTATTTTTAAAGAAATCAATGCAAAGCAAATAAAATGCAAATATCGTTAAAGAAAGTATGTAAAGTGAACCAGAAGACATAGCTTGCTTGGAAAGGATGAAATACTGAAATGGATAAAATGCAAGGTATGATACATTTTAAGTTACAGCAAACCACTGAGGTTTGGACTTCCCCAGACTAGGGCATTACGCTTTGGAGGGTTTATTTCTATTTCATTATATACATACTCGAGGAGATCTTTATTTTCTTTTATTAACATCACTGTGCACTTAATGGAGAGAAAGGGAATAGTCTGATCTTTTTCTGAGGCATTGTCAACGATAAATTTTCAAAGTTACATACTTTTTACAGCTTATTAAATGAAACATTTTAAATGTTGCTAATTGCTACTCAGAGATGCTGTGCTGAGAAATGTGGAAAGACATCATGATCCTTAACATATATCCAGTTTTTAATACAGTGTTAGTGATTTTTACAAAACAAATATTGTTAGCTTTCAACAGAAATGTAACTAAAGTATATGCTTGTATAACTAGTTGTTATTGGCACTTGAAGAAGCGTCTTAAACTCTGTTGCATTATCTTGACAGGCTGTGATTTGTAGATTGAGTTTCTGAACTGCTAACAAAAAAACCTCAGTTAAATGTTTTGTTTTCTTACAACAAATGCATGACAGAAGGTTGGAACAGATTTGTTAAATCTCAGTTTCCTAAAACCTCTCTCTTGCAATCTAAGTCTCCTGGGATACGCTTGTGTGTGGCATCAGTGGCAGAGCTGTTTGATTTTTAAGGGTGTATGGCCATAGTCTGTAGCTACAGAATATTTGGGAAAAATTACATTCTAGAACAATTGCTCTCTTGGTAGTGGTCCCTGCCAAGCTGCATCAGTCTTCCTTGCTGCTGCAATTTAAACTATGCGACCTGAGTTAGGCCTGACCCTGAAGGATATGAAGAAATCCGAGCTTTTATACTTCCTTATACAAGCGTTTCACACAGGAATGATGCTGTCTTGCAACAATTTTCGAAGAATGCTGAATATTACATGCATTGCATGCACTTGATTGTTATATAGAGAATAAAGACAGGCTGATCAGTGATCTGTCACCTTTAAAATGTGTATATATTGGAGCTTTTCTAATTGGATTTATAATGAGAAGAGAATACTCCGAAAGCATAGGGAAAACGGTCTGGGGAATGAAATTATGTGATCATTAACACCTTATATAATGTAAAATAGGTTAGAATAATAAGTAGTCCATTAACAAAGTGAAGTTAAAAGGAGGCAGAAAACATGCAAGTATGTCTTAGGTGTATGTACTGGTAAGCAAGAGAGTAAGATGGTGTGATGGTATTTTTCCCTTCCTGATTTCTTGTTACTGCATTGCCTGTATTTCGTTGCAGATGGATGATGACAGAATGGACTCCGTGTTCAAGGACGTGTGGAAAAGGGACCCAGAACAGACAAGTAGCCTGCACACAGCAGCTCAGAAATGGGACCCTGATCAGAGCTAGGGAGAGGGATTGCCTTGGGCCAAAACCTGCTTCTGCACAGCGCTGTGAAGGCCAGGACTGCATGACTGTGTGGGAGGCGGGAGTCTGGTCTGAGGTGCTGCATTTAGTTATGCAAGTAGTCTGTAGTGATTATTTATGCCTTACTATTTTCTGGGAATATGATTTTTTTTTTCTGCAGCAAGTAGCACAGCTCAGCCTAATGATTTTCACGATCCTCATGCAATGATTTGGCAAAGGGATCAGGGTCTAGGAAAACCAGCCATGTAGACCTACTACATTTTACCTAGTTACTGTCCTGGAACAATTTCTTTTGGCCAGTTTTCAAGCACGTATAATCAAGTATGTCCTGACTATAGTAGTTGGTAACCAGGGGTAAATGGAATTAAGGCTGTCACTTACTAGCTACCAGATCTTGGGTTCAGAATGGGAACATCTCTGACATTCTTTTATATGAAGAGATATTAAACAGCAGATGGTTGCTGCTGTTCTGCTTCAGAGAGGCTGTGAGGGTAGCTGCTTGCAAAGAAGGACATTTCCTTCCCTTACTTTCTCTTCTCACCCCTTTTTCTAAGAACAGCACAAGCAGTGGGCAAAAGGGCTTGTAAATAACACAATTTCACGTATGTTGCATTCTGAAGCATTGCTGTAGTAATGTAAGATCTTTCAGTGTGCATGTCCATTTGGCTTTCTTCTTCTAAAAAGCTATACTACTTCTAATAGTAATTGACTGTGGAGGAAGAAGGGTGTTATCACTGCCATCTGAACAAGCTGAAGGTGTTATTTGGAGCTTCTCCTTCCATTGGAAGAGCAAAGGCAATTCTGATTGCCTCCCATACCAGAAGCTGTGCTATGGGTCCCTCCAGGTTCAAAATACAAATAGCAGCTTTCGAAGTGGGTGCAGTACCTTCTTTGGACTCCTCTGCTTAGCAGCAGCACTTGATCCTCAAGCAAGAAAGAGCTAAGACATAGGGAATGTTTTCAAAGATGAAAAGCAGATGCTAAGGTAGAGATAAGAGAAGTAAATAGCAGCAGTTTGTCCACAGAGGTTTATAATGCAAGGGTTGGTTGTGAGAAGAATGGGATTCACTTACAGATGTGCGAGAAAGAAACCCGAATTGTTTAGTTGTGGTTTTTGGTTTGTTTTTTTTTTTACTTGAGAGATGAGGAATAAGTAAGCGTGTTTTTGTTGGAAGCAATAAATATATTTTGGAGAGTGAGGTGTTTCCCATGGTCATTCCTACCATCACCGTTATATTGGAAGCTAGCCATTACTGCTTCCTGCATTTATAATCAGCTTGGCAAAGGAGAGTTTTGATCTGCAAGCAGTGGGATGATCAAAAGCAGTGATAATGTTTTGAGAAGGAAATGGCATAATTTTTGGCAGTGTAAGTGGGAATGATGGAAAAAAACTCCATAGATTAAGACCTTTTGTGCAACTTGAAGAGATTTTTCACATGCTGCATATGCAGTGACTTTTCAAATTCAGTCTGGGTTGTTGCATAGTTTTAGAATATTTACTTCTCCATTTTAACGTTTTTCCCTCCCAAAAAAAAGGCCTCTTAGACACTAGCAGAGTTTTTCTGAAGTTGCTTTGTATCTTATTCTTGTGAACGTTATTTAGATTTTCTTTCATTATATTTCTTTGCTTTCATAGAACAAAGATTGCCTAATATTTTCAGTATAATGTTTCACATTCACCTCATCATCACATCAACATTTCAGATGTTTTCTTCTCCAAAAGCGTAGTTTTTTTCCTTAAGCAAATAATTTTTGATTTAATTATATATTTTAGCTGAAAATGCAGCAATTATCATTCTGCCCCATAAGGAATTTTTGTTCATTTGTTGGTTTTTAACAAATCCAGTGTCTACGTATTTGAAGACTGGAAGTCAGGAAATCACTGAAGTCTTGAAATTTCTGTGTTAGCCTGGCAGAAGTCATTAGTAGATGATAAAATGGGACATCTATGACTTTTGTGGAAACCTGAAAACCATCTTTTTCCAACAGTGCTCTGTGAAGTGTGGTAAGGGAGTACGGCATCGGACTGTGAGGTGCACCAATCCCCGCAAAAAGTGTGTTTTGTCCACAAGACCTAAAGAAGCAGAGGACTGTGAGGACTATTCCAAATGCTACATCTGGAGAATGGGAGACTGGTCTAAGGTGAGGCATCCTTGACACTAGTGCCCCACAGCATAGTACATTTTGCAAGCCGAGTTCTTTGTAGGAGTTGCCTTTATTGGAAGCGTAGGAGTCTCCCAGCGGGGGGAACAATAAGGCTACAAAGAAAATAACCAAAACGCCAAAACATGTAGTCACACTGAGACCACAGTATAAAAAGCAGAAATATGAGCAAAGCATGAGTTGAATCTTCAGTATCATGCAAATTTGGCATAAATTTGCTGTTGTCAGCAGGCAGGCAAACAACTCCAGAAACAGCAGCTGACTCCAACCTTGCAGTTTGCACATTTCATTAATTTGTGTTGCAAATTTTTTGTGTGTTTCCAATAAGTCACACCCTCCAGCCTTACCAGGAAGCACCTTTAGCCTATTAAATTTCCACATAGACCATTTAATATCTAGGAAGCATCTGTTACTGTCTGTTCTGAATGCTTGATGTAGCTGTCAGTACATTATTTCTTGGCATATGGGTTTTGATTTCAGTGAGTGCATAAGTGTAGGCCAAACTGTAACAGAACGTATTGGTTAGATCTGTAATTGTGTGTGTTACCAAGCTGTGAACTTGAACATCTGACACAGTTTTGAATACCAAAACATGTTGAAATGCTGAAAATGAACCTTGTCTGCCGTATTGCAGACCACGCTTTAGCAGAAAGATTGTAATCTATTTTTTTTTCATTTGCTTCTCTTCATAACTCTGCACACAACACTTCTACTTTCAGTGCCTAACATTATTGTAGCAGTTTTTAACTTTCTTGTATGGAGAAGTATTTAATGTATTTTTAGTTGTCTTTCATGTGATGTAACAGCTGGAAACAAGGACTAAAGCCAGCAGTGTATGACTAGCCAGCCTTCCAAGAATTAGCTGCAAGTACTCTGTGGGCAACTAGTGTTTCATAGAATTCTGCTTGGGAGCTCCCCAAGCATCTCTTTATGATGATGCGGTACAAACTGTTACTATCACATTACTATTTATTCCATAGTCTTTACTTTTTCACATTTAAAGGATAAAGGATAGTGTCAAACGATTATTTTTGTTGTAGTGGTGATCATTTAAAATATTGGGAAATATTTTGGAATAGCCTCACAAAACTAGAAGGTAACCCCCTTACCTTAGTTACTTCAAAAGCACAAAGTAGTATAACCATTAATTTTTTAAACAACAGAAGCAACTAACCTTCAGTAGCAGGGTTACTTTTACAAGTGTTTGGCAATGAAGTTTAGTATTTGCATTTCCATACCACAGAACTGCAGTAAAAACCTGCATCATTTAGTGCTACCACCAACAGGGAGAAGACTATTGAGAAATGATCATCTGCTTTCCTGGTTGAAGCAGTCATTCAAATTGGGGTTGCTGAGGCTATGTGGGGACACTCAGATGCTTACACTGTGTTTCCAGTGCTCTCTGGAGAAAGGAAGAGCTTCGTTCTCTAGTTCAGTACTTCACAAACATACATATCATGGATGAATGTACAAGAACTCACTTCTTCCTGTTTAAAATTTACTCACATCTTGCATGTTCTGCTTTCCTCTTACAGTCAAAGCTGTAACACTGTCATCTAAATTGTGCTTTAAACTTCAAAACTAGGAGATGAGAAAATATTTCATATGGAATTGACAAAGCCTTTTGAACAGTTAACATACAGACTGATTGTGACTTGTGCAGCTGAGATTTTCCAAGATTTATAAAAAAAAAATAGGTACTTTAATTTCTCTACAGAGACATGAGTTCAATTTAAAATATACTTGGATTTCCTTTTTTATTCACTGTTACTATTCTGTTCCATTGCTAGAGTACATAGCAACATGAAGTCATGGCATACATGTTAATATGTCTGCAATGGGAGAAACAAATGGAAACCTCAGATAATTGTTAATCTTTGCTCACTGTTTATTTCTAACTCAGAGGTTCAGTGCAGCTTTCTGAGTTCACTATTTTTACTCTTTAGGATTGTTCTTGACATTGACAGAAGGCTGTTCCTATGAGCAGAGCCAAGTTCCCCTAAGCTAATGCCAAGACTTGGCTTGAAAAATTTGAATGACGCTTCTCACACATTGAAACAAGGGGCTTAATGTGATCCTTATTGGCTTTGCTGCTCCCCTTAAACTCCTAAGGTGTAATTTTAAATGAAGCTTAAATTGCACTATTACTGAAAATATAACATTATTCATAATCATAGTAGTACTGTAATGGAGATAATTTGTTTCAGAGGTACAGTCACATAGAGATCAAGTAATTCTTTTGCTCAATGTTTTAACAATAGTACCAAGATCAAAGAAAATTTGACCAAAATTGCAAGCTCCAATCGGTCAATAAACACATCAGTCCTTCTAAAATCCTGACTTAATTTAAAAGTGTGCTGTATAACCTGGCCTGTATGCAGCATTAAACTCCATAATAGCTCTTAAGTCAGCAAGGTGGGTCAATGCGCTGAACGTTGCTGTCCTTAACATCAGTTGGGCTCTGTGCCTGCCCTTGTAAGGAAAATGAGTATGATGAGAAAGTAAAGGATAAAGGGTCAGACGGAGCTTCTGGAACCAGCACCTAGCAACATTACCAATTACATTGCCTTTTCCTTGGAAATACTATACTTAACAATGTAAAAGTTACCATCAGATGAGGAAAGCTTATAGCTACTATAGCACCAGTTAGGACAAAGCGAAGCTCAGTCTAATTAGCAGCAGTGTCCTTCACTAAACTGCCCATTGCCACCCAGTTCAGGGCTATACAAGGACAGAATCAAGCTTATAGGAATTCATTATCTAAGGATAAACAAGTAGGCAAGGGAGAGGTGAAATGAAAAGCATATGAACTGAATGTTTACACATCTGCCTGGCTTACTAGAAAAGTTCATATCACTGTAGAAGTCATTCTCCAAAAAAGACTTAAATGTCAACAGCACAGGGTGCTTGAAGGGCAGGTCTAGGGTACTTTACCCTATGTAGGAAGCTGTGTATATATTTTTTTTGCTATTATCTAGAAACTTCAGAACATTGGTGGAATAAATGGAGCATGAGTGGCAGGATGAATTTTGGAAGACAGAATGATTTGGAAAGTAGGTTTTGAAAATAATAATTAAAACCTTAAGTTTGATATGATATTAGACCAGAAACTTTTGGAGACATTCAGTGGGAGATAATAGGATCAGAATACTAGACAATGGAGCAGAATTTAGGAACAGCAATTTGTAAGATGAAGAAATATAAAGTATGTGTGTATATGAGACCAAAGAAGATAATATGGAACAAGTTCTAAAAGGAAATTTGGCTATGGAAGCTGTAAAGTGGATCCATTCAGTAGAAACTAAAGAAGCAGCAGCAGCAGAATTTTTAAATAGTGTCTGTGCGTTAGACCAGATATGCAGAGGAGTCAAATATGACACCTGGGAAAATGGTCCCAATGGTTGGGATGGAGTTCACTTTTTCACTTTTTCTGTAGCCTGAACAAGCAAAAATGGGGAACAAACGTTAGGCTGCTAAATTTATTGCAGTGAGTCTGAAAAGACATCTGAGCAACTGCTTAGTTTTTACCAATGAGTCCCAGAATTCATGGCCTATTCCAAATTATTTATTTAAGACAGTACATGCAGTGCCCTCTAGAAATGGGGGGGTGTGTGTGTATTGGGCGGGAAGTCAAATCTCCAGCTGTTGGGACGAGACAGAGTGAACCCAACAGGTCACGGAGTGATCTTCCAATTCAGTGGTAAAAAAGCAGCTGCCAGTGCTGAGGACTGCTGGTTTTATGTCCCAGTCAAAGAGCATGTGAGAATGAAGAGAGGAAAAAAAAAAAAATTCATTTTTTTATTCAACAAGATGGGACATTCAACCTTTAAATTGTGGGCTTAAAGATTTAAACAACGCCTAAATTTCCATAGCAAATAGACTCAACTGATTTTGTCTAGAATTTGGGTAATATTCATGTTACAGTTTTAGTGACAAGGTAATTAGCCTTGGTTTTATTCTTTCGATCCTTATCAAAAATTGTTAGCTCTTTTAGATTACAGAAACAGAACGGTGTTGGCCATGAATCAAAATATGACACTATTAATAGATTTATGGACATAGAAATTATGTGACTTTTATGAAATGATAGAAGCCAAAATAATACTGGCATCACGTTAATAACTTTTATATTGACTTAATTATACAGTTAGTTTCCAGAAAATGAGGTATGACTTTGTTTCAGAAATGAAGTATGAACAAATCATATGGAAGATGTCAATATAATGAAATGAGAGTGAGAAGTTTTTTGTATGTTTCTAGCCAATCCTGTAATATTAACATAATTTGTTTCAGCTAAAGGTTTTTATAGATCAGTGTACTGTAATATTTTGCCTGCAATAAATGTAATGTCATGTTAGTTTCTAGATAAACAGTACAAGACCACCCTTAATAATAGACGAAAGCACTGATGAGACTGGGAAGGGTTGTAATAGTAGACATTACCCATTTTGCAAACACACAAAATGAGGCATGAATGGGAAATTTTGGTATCTGTATCACACTTAAGCCTATTGGGACACCTTTGCTGGTTTTCTGCTACAAGCCTCTTTGGATGAGCAGAGATTTTGGGAGTGCCAAACTGGAATCAAAAGGTAATTATGGGCTGATGTTGTGTTGTCTCCTGAATTGCGTTATCTGTAAGTGGGGTTATATTAGAAAAAAATTAAGTTGTGGTACATCAATAATTCCCATCAGGATTGAGCCTTGCTAAGCCCCATAGAAAAATAAAGCAAGAACAAACAAGAACAAAAGAGAGGAAGGGATGAAAGATGCTTGCAGTCTTATCTGAGAAGTGACATGGTAGGGGGAGAACTATATAATCAAATAAAAAACTGAAAGGAAAGGAAAGGAAAAGAAAGGAAAAAACGTTATAAATCCACCTGATAAGAGCTACTCTTTTTTTTTTTTTTTCCTATGCATCCTAAGAGAAGGTCTCCAGCAGAAGGTACAGCTTTTATACATTTGTTTTGAACATTCTC